CTTTTTTCTTTTTTTGCTACCCACCTACCTCCAGCTGGAGAGTCAGTGCCAGGAACTACACAGCGAGCAGCATGTGACCAAGGTGGAGAATGTGAAGTTAAAGCAGACAAATGACGAGTTGGCACAAGAGCTGGAAAACACCTCCCAGGAGCTGATGTTGGCACAGGAGCAGCTGAGTTTACTGCAAGAGCAGTCCACACGGCTACATGAAGAAAAAGAGATGTAAGCGATGACTGATCTCGGTTTATCTGATGTTTTGGTACCTCGAGCTCTCGGTCTCTCAATTTCTTATCTGTTGCTGATTGATTAGGATGCAAAACTTTGATACTGAAGACATAAATATAATTTGTAAAAACAAAGTAATGTCCAACTTTTTACTGTCATCATGCAAACCCGACGGTTAATAAGCTATTAAACATCTAAAAATATTTACAAAAGTATATGAACTCGTAGAACTCATACTCTTACTCATATTGTAAGTATTTCTGATTTCATTGGCATTTATTCTTATATATTGACTTTTGTATGAACCCACAGTCTGTCAGTTGTGTTTTTTTTAATTACTGATGCTGTAAAAACTGTTTCGAAACACTATAAACTTGATCAAGTCATATGTGAGAAGTGTACATACAAAATACAGTATAATGCAATCACAGAGTATTAATAATCACTGTTGTCTTGCTGTTTAAAATAGAGAAATATACAGACTAACTGAAGGCCTGCAGAGAGAGCGAGAAAGTCTCCTTAAACAACTGGACCTGCTAAGGTACGGATCAGAATAAAGAAGGTACAGCTGTACATGTCTGCTTTAGAAAGAATAGGAGTGTACAGAAACATGACATGAGTGTTGGGTGTTTTGTCTCTATTTCTTTCCCACTGATGAGCTCCAAAGCCAATTTTCGCAACCGAAACAAGTTATCGAAAAAAGTAATTTCTTTCTGTTTTCATGTGAGATTTGTTGTTTAACTAAACCAGAACAGCGCTGAGGAGCAAACATCTCAGTTGGTAATTCATCTTTTACAAGTGTACCAGTCCCATGACAAAGAAAGACTGATTAGTTTCTCAGCCTCGAAGCCTTTTCAGAAGATGAGTTTTTGATCTGCTTTTGAAAGAAATGTTGCTTTACAGTAAATGACAGCGATTCCTATCCGATTATCCAAAGGCTTTTTTCTGTAACTCCAGACCGCGTGTTTGGACGGTTTCCCGTCTCTGTCTGCAGCACCAACAATTTGAAATGAATGAATGAATAATGCATCAAGAAAATAACTCAACACAGTGTCCAAAAACTGAATGGGACAAACCCTTTTGTTTGTATTGCATTTTTACGTCCAGCATGATTGTTATCCTGCACAGACAGTGGGCTTCCATATGAAATGGCACGCTGTTTTATCCTGTTATCTGGATCACTGGAAAGTATGCAGGAGCATTCTGCATGCTCACATTCAGCCAGCTCCTTTAAAACGTGTAT